TTTGTCCAGAGCTCTGGAGAAAATGGTATCATGGTGTTTTCCCTGGGGTCGATGGTCAATATCATGACAGAAGAAAGAGCCAATGTGATTGCATCAGCCCTTGCCCAGGTTTCTCAAAAGGTTAGATAAACTACCTTAGAGCAGAAAACTAATGAGTGTGTTAAACTCTGTAAAATGTCTGGTTAAGATATTTCTACATGAAACGTAAACTATTAGGATAGCTTCAATGATCTTAGATACCAATTTGAAAAAGAAAATACACATGTTAGGTGCTAAAATAGTATAGAGGGTGTTTTTGATGGATAATAACTTTGGCATTAACATTCTGGTCACAAAGAAGTATATTTCAAAAGTACAGTGTGAAGTTTGGTTTGATAATAGTATTATAGGGCAGGAACAGATATCACCAAATCCTATCCTGTCATTTGCTTCATTTCCTTACAGGATTCCTAGAGTACTGAACACACTACCAATATTCTCTGAATAGAGTTAAATTTTAACATTAACCAGAGAATGATAACAATTTGAAAGGCATCATACAGTTTACACTTGCCAGGTAATCCAGGCCTCTCCTACTTTTCCTGGATTTTGGATTAGGCCTATTCAGTTGCCAGGTGATATTCAGAGTAAGGATGTCTAGGACTCACCAAACTGCATCCAGGTACCTAAGCCAGAAACAATGATTTAGAGAAAGAGAAAAAATGGCCTGTAAAACGTGAAGAGAACCTCCCTGATGGGCTGGGCCCTGCTAAATTCTGAAGCAGGAAGACATAAAAGAAAGGGTATAGGTGGGTCCAGCCCTCAAGGTGACCCTGTGTTTTATAAAATGTGGCCCCAAAACAACCCATCAGAATAATAACTTCTGATAGAGGAGGAGGAGGAGATAAAAAAGAGTCAACCAGAAGCAAGCCTAGTTTGGGACAGTTTCAGCTGCTCCTCCTTCTCCATAAATTATGGTAGTGAATTATTGTAATACATAAAATACACTTGAAGTTTCTGGAAACTTTTAGTTTCCCAACTAATGTAGCTTCCTCCATATCACCTATGCAAAGTTGCTGAGAACTTAAAGTAACTTTAACACTCACATAGCAAAAAGATTTTAACCACTTATAAACTAGAATCCAGCTTACTGGTGGACTTATAAATTGCTTGGCTATTTATAACTAACTAGTGGCTCGGTGCACGAAATTCATGCACTGGTGGGGGGGGGGTGTCCCTCAGCCGACCTGCACCTTCTCAATCTGGGACCCCTCGGGGGATGTCCAACTGCTGGTTTAGGCCCAATCCCACCTAAACCAGCAGTCGGACATCACTCTCGCAATCTGGGATTGCTGGCTCCTAACCGCTCACCTGCCTGCCTGCCTGATCTCCCCTAACCACTCAGCCTGCTCACCCACAACTGCCCCCCTGCCGGCCTGCTCGCTTGCAACCGCCCTCCCCTCCTAGCCTGATTGCCCCTAACCACTTCTGCCTCGGCCCCGCCACCATGGCTTTATCCAGAAGGTCTCCCGAAAGGTCTCCCAGTCTAATTAGCATATTACGTTTTTATCAGTATATATATACTAGAGGCCCGGTGCACAAAAATTTGT